TATTCATAACCGAGCCCAGTGTCACCGGATCTGAAACAATTTATGGCACAAGAAGGAAAAAAAAAAGAGATTGAAAACACTCGCTATGAACCCGGCCAGCATAAAGATATATATAAAAAGGATCATGGCCTGAATGGCAATGACAGCATGAAGTCACTCCTGCACAACACTTGATTTGAGGGAGTTAGCTGGCCTCTGTGTCTGACTGAGACTGTTTCTAGATTGTATTTATATCTGCAACAGTCTCTGCGAACACAAAATATGCTACGCTACACTTGACCCTGTTATATCCTCAGGCAAACTGGCAATTTGCAGACAAATACAGACCTTTACTGCAGCCCCAGAGCCTCCAGCTTCCATCCTTCTCCATATTCCAGCTGTGCTCTGCAGCCTGTCAAGGCGGCAAGGGCCCCGAATTAGCCTCCCATTACAGCTAGGCTCCCGCTCCCCCCTAAACTTAACCATTACTGACCATTTGGCATGGCTTCATTATAGAGCCATGCATGTAAAATCAAGTCATGGTCCCTGGCCGTCACATCCAATCTCAAAATACAAGCCGGCCCCGCCCCACCTCTGAATCTCCATCTTTCTCTCTTACTTAAGTTCAAGCTTCTCCTTGTTTCATAAAATATGATCTGATTAGAAATAGATTACACACCTTGTTAGCAGAGCGTTTCATATTTGATACAGCGGTGCTTTAAGACAGGCAGCCTCTTTCATGATTCAAAGCGATTGTGGCCTTGTTCTCCGGCCTATTTGTTTAATAAGCTCTGCTACATCAGCGCGCCTTTTAAGTGAACACACTCCCCTGCAGCAAAGGCAAAAGATCAATACCCACACCTGTAAAGAAATGTAAAAAAGCAACCAAGGAATCACGGTCAAGGATTTTCCCCCTTCCATGGAATAAGAGGCGAGGTAATCAGGAACAGTTTGGCTGTTTGAAAGCGAATCCACAAACAGGAAGCAGCTTTTATGTGCTGACCTGTAGGGAGAGCTACAGGTCCGCCGTGAAATATTCAGAGCCGATTAGTCCAGCGCCGAGCTTTTTGAATTTTCCGATCCGTATGCAAATGGGATATAATAAACAGAAGGAAGAAAGGCAGAGCGTTGGAGGGTAAATGAATTCATTATATTCCTCACCTCATCTGCTCGCTGATGGAAGACATCTCGTGTAATCGCCGATGGAGGGGCGAACCTCCTACTGTACCAGGAATAATATCCGATCGCATCGCCTTAAAACGAGCAGAACTCTCCCTCGTTTTCCTCTGAACAAAGTCAGAGTAAGAGGGAGGATGTTGGAAAGTAATTACCAGTTAGTGAATCCAGGAGTTTAGTTGGAAAAGGCCGGAGCTGCTGGAAAAACTCTGTCCAACCATTTTTATTACATCATGATGATACAAACATTTCTCACCGCTAATTATTGCAAATCAGAGCCGTTTTGTTTCAGCTGAGCAAACAAACTTCACTGCAAAAACATCAAATATTACTCAGTAGTTTATAGTGCAATAAACAAGTAACTTTTTAGAAAGGAGTTTTAAATCAATAATTGCTTGATATTTATAGAGAAAGTGCTTCTTCCACTAGCCGATTATTTCACTTTTAGAAAAAATGCCTTGTTTATAAGTTCATCTCCTGCAAAAATGCAAAACCTTACAAATTATTTTTCTCTATTTTCTGCTGTAAATATCTCAGGACAGTTGAAATAATACGAAACTACATTGCAAGTAACTTTTCAAGAAGATATTGGAGCTTATTTTAGCTCAATAATTGTTTAATAGTTGTGAAAAAGTTCCACAAAAAATTTTATTTATAACAAGATATTTTGCTCAGATTATAACTGAATTAATCAGCCAGTGGTTTGTTTTCATAAAACCAAGCACCTAAATATTGTTTAAAAGTTACTTATAAATTATTTGAATAAGAAATTGGACAAAAATACTTTATAATGTCTTGCTATGTTGGGGATTATTTCACTTATTAAAAGGACAAAAGTGTGTTGTTATAAGTTAAACAATCTGCCAGTGGAAACTAGTTTTTCATTAATATTAAGGAATTATTGAGGTTAAAAAATCTCCTATTTCTTGCTGAAAAGTTACATTAAGTTGGTTTTGTTGTAATTTGTGCTGGAAACGAGACCAAACGTACTTTTTGCAGCGTTCAGACCAGACTTCCTGTTTGAACTCAGGAGTAAAAAGATTTGATGACCATCGTCTCTTTTTTCCTTCCTTCGGTTGTTGATTCGTCTGTTTTCTCCTCGGCGTAACGTCCGATCCGGCCGCCTACGCCCGCCGCAGTCTCGATGGGCGTCGACGGGGGAGACATAACACCCACCAGCTTAACACGGAGGTCACGGGAGGTCCATCATTACCAAGCCACAGCGGTGATCACGGCAATAATATAGAACGATACCCCAGCAATTACACTAATGGAAACGTCCCTATTTCTTCTGGCGGGCTGCGGCGAGACGCGGCGCACGCCCCCACGGGCCCCCCCTGGAAACGCCACTGGAGACGCGAAGTGGAGAGGAGGTAATGGCGGAGGCCCATTGATCCTCATTGCCACCTGCTCTATGGCTCCGCCGAGGATGGGCGGGGAGGCAGAGGGCTCCATCTGGGGAGAGATCAACGCCGACTCCCCGGCTCTCAGGCATATGGATAAGAGTCTTTTTCTAGTCTTGCACTACTTAACCAGCACACATTAGCACAATATGGCCGGATGGGGGGGAGTAAGGCGGGCATACATGCAGACTTTATCACACCGAGAGTGCTTCCACGCCGAAAGGGCGTGAAGTCGTTAACTCAGAGTCTGCAGTGATTGGCTTCTTTGGGGGAGACCAGGTGAGAAAAAGAACAAAACGCATCAATATGAGGAAAAAAGATTCCTATAAACTGACAGGAATGTGGGAATTACACCCACAACCAACTGTTGTGATTAGAACTGAGACGATCTGGGCCCAACGGAGAGCAAAGCTGGAAAATGACTTTTAAATTCAAAAGTTTTAGGTGTCAGGAAGCCAGACCAAAGACAGAATGAACCTCGCCTGGTCTTTAGTAGCTTCTAAAATAAAATGAAATAAAATTTAAAAAACTAATTTAATTCATTTTTATTAAAGATAAAAACATATCGGGGCAAATTCTTTGTTTTTTTTTTAAAACAAGCTTCAGCTCTTGGATAAGGAGAGGTTTCTGGTCCACAGCATCACTCCTCCCCTGCTGTGCTTACTGATGTTTTTTTTTACTGACTTTGATTATGGATATGAACAAAACAAAATGTAATGGCAGATTTCACACTGCAAAAACACAAACTTTTACCACATTTTTTTCTCAAATTTCTAATGCAAACATTTTCGTTTGCTTGGTTTACGTCAACAAGTCCTCAATATTGATTTTAAAAAGCTCTATCAAGTTATTTCAATGATAAAATGAGATTTTTTTCCATCTTGTGTGAAAAAATCTCCCATTGGATCTAATAATTGTTTTAGTCAAACAGTTAATTTGATCAGAAATGATATTTCCTCTAATCTGATGTGGGAAGCAGAAAGAAAGCTCTGATTGTTTCACATCTTTCTTTAATAAATAACGACAGTGAAGAATCTGTTGTTTGTGTACACTTCAAGTCCAATTTAAATAAGCGGTAAAACAATTTTCAATTGTTTTTATTGAATCCTCATATGTGAACGCTGGAACTGAAATAGAAAGCACTTGTTTTGTTTTTTTACAGTCAAATAGATGTGTAAATAAAGCCCAAAGTGCAATAATAGATAAGCATGTAATATTAAACAGCGCATTAAAGAAGAGCAGTGTGATTTACCTGGACTGTTTTGTGTTTTCAGCCTCTGTAAATCAGAGGGAAAAAGGGAATCTGCGCTTTGCATGACATGCGGAAAGCACATGCGAAGCAGCAGATGTAGTTCAGGTCCCAGAGCAGCTGAACACAACAGCAGCTTAGACAGTTTCTGACTTTACCTTCTGCTGAAGTCTCAAACTATATCATTCATACAAAATTCATACTCACTCTCCACATACGGCTTGGGTTTGTTTTCTTTTTTTTAAATCAGTGGAAAAAAACTTGCCAGATTTGATCAATATTTTCATTTTTATACATAATTCATAAATATATCCACCTTCTTTCACGGTTCAATTACAAATAAAACACAATGCACGTTGCATGAGTGACCCATCCGAGATCAGCTTGCAGCATTTGTACTGCTGTTCACACCCAGTTCAGTCCTTTCACCTTGTTTCCAAATGTTTTTAAGCCCAACGGAGTGCACTGCTTCTCCTGCAATTGTTTTCAGCTCAACAATAAGTGCAAGAAAAGAGTCAAATAAAAAACCCACAGCAGATCTGAGGGGATAAAAGCAGTACGGATGCATGTAATCGGTTTGTTTTGGAGGATTTAGTGTCCGGTGCAAAATGGAGGCTGTTAAAAGGAAACACAAGAAAAGCAGCAACACTTGCAGCATGTCCACAGTGATTTCAATGTTCTGTCTCATTATTGTCGAGAGAAGCTGCAGATAAATTACCTCTATATAAGCTGCACAACACTGACATCTGTCTTTTATGCCTGACAGAGTCGAGCTGCTCTAAAAATTTTAAAGCCTTAAAATGCTGAAGGAGGACGAAGAAAAGCGAAGGAAAAAAGAAAACATTAAAAATGTCCCTTTTTTTTCTGCACAACCAGAAGAAACTTGTTTGGTTCATCAAATCAAGGTTCCTCCGACAGAACAGATGTGGTTTTACCACCATCTTGTGCTAATAGTTATTACCTCATTGTGTTTCTTTGCTTAATTTCCTTGTTCCTTAAACCAATTCTAAACTCTAAAATTTGTTCCCCATAAGATCTGCAGTAAAACTTTTAATCTTGAAACGATTTTAGTTTCAAAGCTGCAGATCAGGTTTGATTTATTCGATCTAAACCTGTCAGTCGTATCTGTAACAGAAACTCTCCAGCCTGGTGTCTAACGCGGGACAAACAGGACCATCTTTACGGAGTCTGACCTGCCCAGCTGGGGGTCTCCATGTACAGGTGAAGCCGGTCGGCCTGGAGCGGGGTCACGCGACTCGCTGCTGCTGCCACAGGTGCTGAAGAACCTGCAAAACACAGAAGAGGGGAAACGAAATCAATAAGTCCAAATAAATAAAACGCCCAGAGAGTTGTTGTCGCAAAGCAGCCAATCCAGAAGCAGCATTCATTTTCCTTGACACTGATTGGCTGAACCCCAAGACCAAAGAAGAACACAAATGTAATCAACACCAATTCAGGTAAATCTGGAGTTTGATCTCTTAAAATACACAATTCTGCAGATTTTTCAGATGGGCAAGAATTAATATGTGGTTGTGGGAAATTATAAAATTGCAAATTGTGAAGTTAAAAATTTGGTTTGGTGTCAAACTGAAAATAAAAAAACTGTTCTTGACTTCTTGGTTGTAGAATTGTTTGCTGCTCCTGATTATTTGCAGTAAATATTTAGACATTTTTCTGCAGTAGCACCGTCTTTCACATTTAATCCTGCAACTTGCTCATGCCATGAATACAGCCTGTGTTGTTTTTCATAAAAAAAGCATCAGTTGCAGCAGAAACGCCTAAAGAAGAAAACCCGAGTTAAAGACAGGCGAGGAGTATTGTTGCAGAGCCTGTTATCTGTGATTTGAACCACAGGAAACTTGATTTTATTTGACGAACCTAACAGCCTCCATGTTACTGCGCTGCAGCAGATCCTAGGTGGGAGAAAAGCCGATGAGGGTTTGTTGTCTTTAGGGAGTTCTCACATCCACTTTTCCCCAGAGAGCCTGGTTGTTTATCCCCGTACTCACTGCTGCGTTCCTTAAGCTCAGCTGACGTGTTTCTCTGAATTTAGAGATCTCAACAGCTATTATTTAATTTCCAACACATTTAAAGTGCTTTTCCTGCCTTTAAGTAAGAGCATTTGTAACTGGAGTAACTCAGACTGAAAGTGCATTGAATCAGCCGCGTTTGTGCATTACTATCAGGCTGCAGCACCCTTATAGGAGGCGCATATATCCGAGTGTTGCTGCGTGTTTTTGCCTCCGTTTGTGACTGTTACCATAAAGCCGAAGCTTTTCTGCTGACTGGTGGATCTTTGCAGGCCTCAGGTTGGCTGTTGCCCAGCAGCCCAGCCGGTGAACCGCAGAGAGAGCGCATTGATTTCATCCCAGCAGAAATCCCTGCTCCGGTTCCCGCCTCGCTACCCCGCCCAGCACCTGATTAAGCATTCGCAGGGAGCCATGCCAACACAATTTGTCATTTATCAAAAGTAATTAAAAGCAATTTCTTTTCTCTTGTTGATTGGGAATTGACTAATTGTTGAGTCGGTGAAAACGGGGGAATAAAAAACAGAGAAGGATGAATTTTACATAAACTCAGAGGAAAACATAAATGCTGTAAAACGAGGGCCAGACATCTGGCTCTGTGATTTTCCTCTACATGATTATGACTGCAAACCGAAACAGTAGTTGAGCGTGTTCTGATATACAGCCCATAGGCAGTAAATAATATATTAGAAACAGCATATTGACTAGCTGACTTAAAAGGGTCTTTTCACTTCAAGTTGTGTGAACACCAGAGTGGGAGGAAAACACAAACACTGGTTGGTTACTTGTTAGGAGAAAAAGAAAAAAAAAAGCGTCTCGCCAAAAGAGATATTTGAGCCAGTGAACATCAGAGAGCTGGAGCGATAGAAGTGACGGTACAGAAGCCATCCTGCAGCCGGGGTTACAGCCGGTCTGTCCAATGAAACCAAGCAATACCATCTCAACATTATCGGTAACAACCTCTGAATGCACCATTACCTTCTATGAGGGCAGAATGAAATGTCAGAATTGATTCGAGAGGGGAGGGTTGAGATAAAAGCGGGCCAACTGCGGTGGACATTTTGTTTCAGGGCCCCTTATTTGGCGTCCCTGGATCATTAGCAGACGGAGAAGAGGGAACTGGAGGAACATGAAGGAGGCGCGGGCGGGCGGCCGTCCTCTCTCACCAACACAGAGACACGAACGCAACATGAAGAGGAGGAGGAATCAGCTGAATCTCACATGATGCAGTCAGTATCTTCACCTGAGCGGACCAAGGATTTATTCGATTCTTTGTCAACAAATTGAGTCGCTACTTCAATGAGGCATCATGAATAACCCCTCTAAAGGCTGCAGACGGACACGCTGCGCCATCACTGCCAGGGAGGGCAGAAATAATTGGGCTACAGAGAAAGAAGCCGGCTCTCACATCACAGCCGAGACAGTTCAGAATACCTAATTGAACCTCTTATTCTTCTGCCTTTTGTTTACATTCTCATTCATCATAAAAAAACTCACTTATGCTCTCTAACGTGTATGGTTATTAATGTTCTAATTATGATTTTCCCCTCCAATCTTTTGCCGTGCAATTTGGGTGATGTATGTTTGAACAACACAGCGAGTCCCGCTGGAAATAAATGCAGTAGCACACCTTCTCCAGGGAGCCCTCTGATGGAGAGGGAAAGCTCGTCACCGTTTGTCTATACGCGGGGATTTATGCCGGCTCACTGAGCTCCCGCCATTATCTCTGTTCCACGTGGATTTTCAAGCACAGCAAAACCGACTCCCGCCTAAAAACGCCACAAGTCAGCGACGTTTGTCAAGTCAAAAGTCCTCACTTGTCAAACCTGTGCAAAAAATCAAAAACTAAAACGATTCATAAAAGCTCAGCTAACTACATGATTTAGCTAAATGGATCAGTAAATCATTGTAGATTCAAAAAATAAAAAAGTTTGGTGGGTTAGCTTTTTTAGAAGAAATTAACAATTTACAAACTCTATAGTCAAGAACTGGATTTGAATCATGTAGAAAGTTATACTCGGTTTGATTGGTGACCAAAGTTGCAACATTTGTTCCGTTTTCAGCTGGTTTGGTTAAATTTTAAATAACAAAACCCTTTGAGGAACCTGTTCCCCTCCTCGCCTGTGGGGGCGCTGCACCAAAAACCTCTGAACACGACACTCAGCCAAACCTCCTTCTGCATGAAATGCAAGCAAAAATGATTTTAGCTGTTTTAGGATTTCTCTTTTGTCTAAAAAGATCAGCTAAGTCATTTCTGATGCTAGAGTTAGCCTAGCATGTTTGTTTTGGTTGTATTTTCCCAGAATGCTCAGTGTTGCTGCTCTTGGAGCGCTCTCCGGTCTGCTTGGGGTTCACATGCATTCAAACCGAACCAGAATGTATAAACACATTTGAATGGGTGAAACACTGAGTGCTCAAAATGATGTCCAGTCCTTTTTTAAAAATTCTTTATTGAAGAAACCCACCACTTTTTTAACATCATTATTTAGGATCTACTGACCTAAAACAAGCTCCAGTATCTTGATGAAAAGTTAGTGTCGTCTTATTTCAATTATGCTAAGATATTTCCTCAAGAAACCAGATGAAAATACTTGGTAAGATTATTTATTTGTGCAGTGATTTCCATATTGAGATTATGTAACACCACCTAGCAGCAGAAGTGTACTTAGTTTGGCAAGAAGAGATTTTGAATTTTAGCTTAGTAATTATGACAGGTGGATTTTAGTGTGTTTTAGAGGAGCAGATGAAATGTATTTTTGTTTCTGGACATGTATTTGAGTAGATTTTGAGGGAGGTGTGCTTCCTCTCCCCACCACCGTTGGTGTGATTAGCTAAAGAGAAGGAGATGATATCAGCGAGAGGCTTGAGCAGCTCCTGCAGAGCGGGTGAGAGGGTCCTGTACTGCCTGCAGCAGAAACCCTTCTTCAAGGCTCTTCCTCTGAGCACTTTTAAAAGAGCAAATTAGGTGTGAGGAACGCCTGCGTCGACGCACAAAGAGAAGAAGTGGAAGGAAACGGATGAAAAAGGTCCTCGGAAAGGGGGGCAGGACCCTGCGTGACAGCGGAGAAACGGACGGCTGGAAATAAGCTCTCACTTTCAAACGTTTACGGCAGCTCAAATATCTGATGATACCTCTCATAGCTTTTAATCTTTAATGTGAAAAATTAATCATCCCATTCATTATTTTAATAGCTGTCATTTTTCTCTTCCCAAAGTGATGATTTATAACCATTAAGCCCTGTGTAGGCCTGTGTGAGAGGGATTTATCGTAATGTTTGCACCAGGTAGCCTCCAACCATATTTCATTACTCTGACAAGCCATTAAAATGCCCTGGTGATTAAACAACAGCTCTGAGGTCAGTGTGTAAAGCTGTTTCTTTACCCATGCTGGAGCGCGGCGGCGCAGGCAGGGACCGCTAGCCTAACAAAGCCCTCTTCCTGCCCCGGCTCCCTCCAGACTGGCAATCCCAGTTATAGATCTGTATCTGGGCCTGTGTGGGAGCGCGGCAGGGCCAGAGGAGAGGAACGCACACGCACCGAGGCGACCATGAAATAAAGTTAAGAATGGGGCTATTAGGGCTGTTTTCCTTTGTGGTTTGAGACTGTGATAACTGCACTTAGAGGAAAAACTCCACACTAAGATCCTCTCATGTCCATCCATCTGCAGAGCACTCCGTTTTCCTGCCAGGAGTGGTTTCCCATGATGCTTTGCTCTGCTCACTCCTCACACCCCTCCTCTGGTTATTGGTTTCCAACAGATCCCAACATAAACTCGGTTATCTGCAGCAGCGTTCCTCTCCAGGGTTCGTCAAGTTTCTTGGAAATAGTAATTAGTAAATAATTGCTGATTACTTCCCCAAGAAAGTATTCAATCAATCGATCAATCAAGTTTATTTCTAAAGCAGTTGAAAGTAATTCACATCATAAAAACACAAAAATACAAACAGTTGCAGAATCGCACACAGTATGGATGGTTGTTGTGACTTCCTCCTCTGATTAATGCATTACTGATGCATTATGGGTAAAAAATGTGCATGACACTGTGTCTTGTGATCAAGCCCAGAAGATCTTCAGCCCTGGGCTGTTCTGCCTCTGTGACATACAAACAGCTCAGAGGCTTCCAGCACCTTCTGCTGCAGCTTTGTCCCGTTTCTCTGGTTGATGTTTGCAAGGCCACAAAGGATGAATGAGCTTCTACATTCATAATCAATACGCTGTTATTTGCACAAGCAGCACCAAGCTCAGCCACACACTGAGGA